CTCCTCCTCCTCCGCCTCCTCCTCCTCCTCCTCGCTCCTCCTCCTCCTCCTCCTCCTCCTCCTCCTCCTCCTCCTCCTCCTCCTCCTCCTCTCCCCCGCCCTTCTCGCTACCCCCTGCCCGGCTCCCTCCCTGCCCCCCCCCCCGCGGGCCGCAGCCCAGACCCCCTCGGGCGGCGAAACAAATCGCGACGGGAGGCTCTGCCTTATATGTTCTCGGCCTCCGGGGGCCCTCCCGTGGAGCGCCAAACAGCGGCTCCAAAATCTCCTGAAAAGTGGTTATCTCATGGGCTTGCATGGGATATTGTTGTCTTTTCCACCTAGATAGTAGCCAGAAAGCTGTGCGAGAATCTGCGTTGAGACTTAAAACGAAAAAGTCCAGTATATGTCGGACCATGGCTTCCACATGTGCCGTCGCGACATCTCTGACATCCACATAATTGGTATTAAAATTGAGCACTGGCATGTTGCCTTAGGGGCATTCGACTGGGGGTCGACGCTGTGAAAAATCACGACGTCTTGGGTCTTGGAACCCAGACCCCCGGCGTCGCCCCAATGCCCGGGTCGGGGTCGCCGCGCTCCCCCTGGCGGGTTATATGGTGCCGCTGGGAGGCAGAGCCTGCCGGCAGCTTTCGGAACACTCTGGGTGGGATGTCGCCTGACTCGTTCTCCCTCCGTTCTCCTTGTCGTCACTCTCCTACTCCCTCACTCCTTCTTTCCTTCCTTCCGTCCTCCCTTCCTTCCTTTTCTTCCTTCCTTCCCCCCTTCCTTCCTTCCCTCCTTCCTTCCTTCCTTCCTTCCTTCCTTCCTTCCTTCCTTCCTTCCTTCCTTCCTTCCTGTTTTTCCTTCCTTCTCTCCTCTTCCCCGAGGGCTCTCGCCTCCTCCCCCCCTCCCTTCGAGAGCGAGAGAGAGAGAGAGAGAGAGAAAAAAAAAAAGAGACCTGGGGGCGGGATCTCGCCTCCTCCCTCCCTCCCTCCCCCCCCGGGCACGAGAGCCTCCCGCCGCTCTCCCTCCTCCCCGGGGGCCCGTCATGCCAGGAGGGCCCGGTGGTACCCCCGCCCCCCAGCGGCAGCCCTCTGGTCTGCCCAGCATGGGCTGGGCAGGCCCCTCCTCGCGCCGAGGGGGGCGGCGCGGGCGGAACGAGTGCCACTCTGCGCCCACGCCGCCGCCACCCGACCGACCGACCGACCGACTTATGGATAGAGAGAGCGAGAGAGAGCTACGGCATCAGACGGGCACAGCGTCTGCGAACCATGCCGCCGCCGCCACTCGACCGACCGACCGGCCCTCCTCCTCCTCCTCCTCCTCCTCCTCCCTCCTCCTCCTCCTCCTCCTCCTCCTCCTCCTCCTTGTCCTCCTTCCCACCTCCTCCCCGAAGGAGGACGTGCACAGATGCAGTCAACCCGTACAACAAGGGCGCACGATAGGGGTGCAAGGGCCTTGGAAGGCCACGTCACGTCGACACTCTTCCAGCGGGGCTGGCCAGCCAAAGGTGCCAAGGATGGTCCGAAGGGGACGGATGCGAGGGTAGCCTTGGAGAGCCGCGCATCCTCAGTATGCGGGCTGGAACAGAGCCCCCGTGCTGCAGTGGCGCGGGCTCCTCAGACATCCGACGCCGTGATTCTTTGTCACCGCGTCGACCCCCGAAGGTCTCGACCCCTTCCCTGGGACCGGTTTTTCTCATCCTGAGCTTTCTTTTGACGGTCCCGGGGCCTGGTCAGGGGCCCCAGAGGCCGAACACGTGAAAAAGCCTCCCGCCGTGATTTGTTCACAGCGCGAAGGGGTCTGGGTCCCTGCTTCGAGTTGAAGCAGTTGTACGCTAAGAAAAAAGGCATCACGCCAAGTGTGCTCCTAAACCGTAGCCCATGCCTGGACGCGTGGAAGTTCTACGAACAAAGAGGCTCCAAGAAAACGCCCGGGGTCCAGCCCAGATTCTTGATTTTCGGAAGCAGGAGCGGGAGCCCATGACAGTTGATGGCTTTCCCCACGCTGTCTGATGAGTGTAAGGATGCCCTTCCAACAAGTCGGAGTAAAGTAACAATCCCCGATATCGCCGCCGATGCAAGATGATGCTGGCGACCCAGGACAAGGATGCACGAACAAAAACAGGATAACCATACACTTTCGAAGGTCCTCGCAGATTTCTCGGATCGGCGCTGGAGCCCCGACCTGTCGCGCGGGGCGCGCCAGGGGCGGCGCCGGAGGCGCCGACAAGGGAGGGCCATCGCCGATCGGAGAAATCCGCGCGGAGCTCCGAAAGGTAGGTCATGCTTCATATCCGAAGACCAACACCGATCCAAAGTGATGTCAATCACAAGGGTCGAGATATTCTTCGGGCTGGCAGCCCGGGGCAAGGACCCAGACATTCGGTGTCTCGTTTTTAAACCAGGAGTCTCCCGCAAGTCCCGGCCATCGCCCCAGGGCCCCAGGGGCCTGGCGAGGGCTCCCAGTGGCCGAACGCGGCCAAACGACCTCCCACCGTGATTCTGGCTCACAGCGTGCGCATGTCTGGGCCAGGCTGGGATTAGGTCGGGCATGTCCTCCCACAGGCGGATTTAGGAAGAAAAAATAAGACACAGCCCAAAAATATTCAAGAAATATACAGACAGAGCATTGTCTGACTACTTTTGGATATCCCTCCTGTAGAGGGACATGCCCGACTTCAGCCTGGGAGCCCGGGCCGCCGGAGGCGCCGCGAGGGGGGGACCCAGCGCAGATCCAAGACATCCGCGCGGAGCGCCAACAACATGTGCTTATGGCGCTTTTCTTCCTTTCGACAACCGACCTCCCACCGTGATTCTTGCTCACGGCGTGCGCATGTGTTATGAAGAAAATCCTGAAGGCCTCGCGCGGCGCGTAAGAGTAGTATGATCTAGTCCACTTGTCAGTTCCGTAGGCTATGGGTCGACGCTCGCGCGGCGATGCTCTGGAATCAGTACGGCGTCAATCCGACGTACATCTGACGTAGTCCGACGCGAACCCGACGTAAATCCGACGTGTGTCCGACGCAAATCGGCCCTCCAGTTGCCGAGCGAGGCCTCCAGGATTTTCTTCATGACATGTCTGGGTCAGGCTGGGAGCCCCAGGGCGAGGAGAGGGCCTTTCCCCTCCCCTCCTCCTCCTCCTCCTCACCCTCCTCCTCCTCCTCCTCCTTCTCCTCCCCCTTCCCCTCCCGCTCCTCCTCCTCCTCCTCCTCCTCCTCCTCCTCCTCCTCCTCCTCCTCCTCCTCCTCCTCCTCCTCCTCCTCCTCCTCCTCCTCCTCCTCCTCCTCCTCCTCCTCCTCCTCCTCCCCGACCCCCGAGGGCGAGGCCGCGAAGGCGGCCGTGGCCGGGTTGCCCTGGGGCAGCTTCCCGGCGAGCCTGGCCAGGTCGGGCAGCCAGCGCACGCCAGCTGCGGGGGGGGGCGCGCCCGACGGCTGCGGCTGCTGCTGCTGCTGCTGCTGCTGCTCCTGCTCATGCTCCTCCTCCTGCTGCTGCGCCTCCTCCTCCTCCTCCTCCTCCTCCCTCCTCCTCCTCCTCCTCCTCCTCCTCCTCCTCCTCCTCCTCCTCCTCTTCCTCCTTATCTTCCTCCTCCTCCTGCTGCTGCTCCTGCTCCTCCTCCTCCTGCTGCTCCTCATCCCCCGCCGCTTCCTCCTCCCCCAGACCTTCTCGTCGCGAACAAATCGCGACGGCGCTACGCCGAGGAACCCAGGAACCCCTCGGATCACGAAAAAATCACGACGGGAAATGTTTCGCCCTTTTCGGCCTCTGGAAGCCCTCACCGGGCCTCTCGGCCGCCAAAAAAACGACTCAGTATGAGAAACTGGGCCCGGGGAAGGGGTTCCTACCTCTGGGGGTCGACGCCGTGAACAAAAAACGACGTCGGAAGCCTGGGCCCCCCCCCCTCCGGCGCGGGGGCGCCCGGGAGTGAGTCCACACCCCCCGCATAGGGGGGGCCTTGGGCATCGGGGTGCATGTCCTGGGTCCGCGTCAGCCGCTGTCAGGGACAGGCCCCCTCTTCCTCCTCCTGCTGCTCCTCCTCCGCCTTTTCCTCCTCCTCCTCCTCCTCCTCCACCTTTCTCCTTCCTCGTGCTCGCTGCGCGATCCCCTGCTGGATGCCCAGCGGCAGTGCCTCCCGCCGTGCTTGCAGGCCTGACCACCTCCTGCTGGAGCGAAGGCACGCTGCCGTCTGCTACGGTAGAAGGAAACAATTACTGAACACCCCCCTCCACCCAACCTCAATGTTGGCACGCGCGGGGGAGACTGCGGTCGAAGTGCATCTCATCAGACCCACCGCCAACTTTGAACATTGGGGGGAGGGGGAGCCGTTGACAGATGAATGTGGCATGAATGTTCGCTAATTTGTTCCGAGGCCTGTGGATATGTTGCCCGGCACGTGGCTATCCTCGAACTGATTGGGACGCAAAAATCAAGGAAGAGGTACACGGGAAAATGTTCGAAGGAAGGACTGGAGAGGAAACATCTCAATCACTGCGAAAATCAAATCATCAACCGTGGACTTACCCCAGACTGAGTCAGACAGGGGTACATCGAACTTGACACTTTGCTTTTCGACTTTTGCGACGAACCACGGCGGCGGCCGACTGACAACGACGACGACGTCCGGGCGCCAAGCAAGAAACGGCCAAGGCGACTGCATGTTGTTTTGTCGAGCGCCTCCCCTACGGCCCCGGGACGCCCCCGGAGGCGCCTCGCGCATCCCACCGTATTTTTCACGTATGACTCGTATCACTCGTCCCACCACTCTTTATTGGTCACTTATTCCTCGTATCACTCGTAAGAGACAGGAAGAAGTTCTAGAATATAATTTTTCTACGAGCGATAGAGTAATATGTGAAAAATCAGGAGTGATGGGAAGAGTGATACGAATAATGCGTGACAAAGAAGGCGCGGGGCGATCTGGGCGCCAGAAAACTATAGAAGTATATACATATGTAGATATATATATATATATACACATACATACATATATATATTATATATATATCGATATATATATATAAACATGCATCAGAATGGTCTCGCAGAAATCCTCACCCACATAATCGCTCGGCCAACTCGCAAATGACGGGGTAACCTAAAAGATGAGACGTGTGTCCACATTCCCGGCGAGGCCGCCACGTAATTTGGTTGGTGGGCGCTGGCACGCACCGGAACGGGGCATCTCGAAGATCAAAGAGGACCGTTGACAATCGTATCTCAAACGCGTGATCTCGCGCTCGCTGGCGCAATAAAAGGACATCTGACTACCAAACGCGCGAGAACGCGAGCACCGGTCCATCGCTGTCCAGAAGCACTCGGGAACAGACTATCTGCAGCGCCGGTAGGTCGACATGTGAAGCGTGCATCATGCCCACGAGGGGGTCCCTGGGATAAGATCAGAGATTTGCACCTCATCGGCGATCAATAAAAGGTGCCAGGAGCCACGTGCTTGCTTCTGGATCGAGACTTTCAATGCAGTGTCACGCGACACCAAAAACAACAACAGAACTGCCAGCGGGGTCGGGCTGGGGGGGGGGCTCATGCACAAAGGCTTGGAACAGCGGCTGACGAGAGAGGATTGTTTGCTCCCCTCATCGCGTTACGTGTGTGGATAGCTCCTGTTAGGCCCCATCGCAACCTGTACACATCGAAAGTGTGAGCAGCGCTGCGGTGGCCTGCAGCAGCCTGACCATCAGATCATGCGCGTGCTGCAACAACTCTCATCCACAGGAAAAGCACAGGCAAGTGAGTGCGGGCGTGGCCGAGCCCTGCGGCTAGCGGATCTACAAGATCATGTGCAACTTACTGCACAGCTTGAACTGGTCTGGAGCGTGCGACGTACTGCAAACAAACCAACGGGCACGACATCCTGACATCCCTTAGTGCCCGCAGTCTCTCCAATGCATCGAGCCCCACATCAGCGCCGGACCGACGCTCGCAGTGCCGCCCTCGAAGTCCTTCTGGGCTGCCGCTGCGAGCTTGGGCCAGAGCCCCAGCAACAGTGCCGCATCGAGTTTGTCCTCCTGCCGCGGCCGCACCACCTCAACGTCTAACCCGTCCTCTACACTCTACTTACACATCCTGCGCCTTCCACAAACGTGAAAGAGAATTACGCAACAAGGAAAGACGGTACATGCACGCCATCTCTGTATCTCTTCGCGAATCTCCTCTTGCCGCCCCTCACGCTCAAACATATACTGCCCAACCACCGTCGCCACCGTCTTGTCTGACATCCTGGTCGCCTTCCGCGCCCACATTGTTCCTGGCCTCTACCCTCAAATGCGCCGCCCGACCCTTGGGACGCTCTCCCCCTCAACCCCCCTTGGCCCCGCGAGTTACGACAGCTCCCGTCTGCCCAGACCCCCGCCGTCATGATTTTTTCATGATGTCGACCCCCAGCGGTCTGGACCTACTCCCTGGGACCGCTTTCTCGTGCTGAGTCGTTTTTGTTGATGGCCCCGAGGGCTGGTAAGGGCTTCCAGAGTCCGAATTACCCCAGTGCGACCCTACTTAGAAGTTGGAGCCCCTAGGGAACCAGCATTAGTTGCTATGCTATGCTATGCTATGCTATGCCATGCTATGCCGTGCTATGCTATGCTGTGCTATGCTATGCTATACTATGCTAAACTGCGCTATGCTATGCTATTCTGCGCTATGCTATGGTATGCTATGCTATGCTGCGTTATGCTATGATATGCTGAGCTATGCTATGATATGCTGTGCTGCGCTATGCTATGCTATGCTGTGCTCTGCTATGCTAAAGCTCAGCGAAGCTAAGATGAAGGTAAGCAAAGCTAAGCTAAACCTGAGCTCAGATGAAGCTAAGCTAAGCTAAGCTAAGCTAAGATGAAATCAACTAAGATAAGATGAGATAAGCAACGCTAAGCTAAGGAGACGTAACTGGGGGAACCGCGGGGCGGATGCCGGGGGAACCGCCCGGGGCGTTTTGCACTGCCCGGCCCTTTAAGCATAGAGAGTCAGAACCCTTCTAGGCAGAGCCTAGGTAGGGAAACAGCGGAAAACCGCCCGTCGTGATGTTTTCTTGAACTCGAGGGGATCTGGGCCTGGTGCACTCGTCTCCACTTTAGCTCCCTGCCGCATCTCGCTGCGACAGTGCTGCTGTCGCCTTGGCGCCCTGCACGCGGAGACCTTCTCCTCCCCCTCCTCCTCCTTCTCCTCCTCCGGCTCCCCCTCCTCCTCCTCTTCCTTCTCCTCCTCCTCCTCCTCCTCCTCCTCCTGCTCCTCCTCCTCCTCATCCTCATGCTCATCTCCTTGTTCTCCTCCTCCTCCTCCTCATCTCTTTCTCCTCCTCCTCCCCCTCTCTCGTCCTCCTCCTGCTGCTCCTCCTCCTCCTCCTCCTCCTCCTGCTCCTCCTCCTCCTCCTCCTTCTCCCCCTGAAGTACTGATGCACCGATGGCAATGGTGTTCGTCGAACCCTGCCGCTTTGTCCTCCGCCTCCTCCTCCTCCTCCCTCCTCCTCCTCCTCCTCCTCCTCCTCCTCCTCCTCCTCCTCCTCCTCCTCCTCATCATCATCATCATCATCATCATCATCATCATCATCATCATCATCATGGCCCTCACCTCCTCCTCCTCCTCCTCCTCTTCCTCCTCACTGCCCTCCTCTTCTCCATCCAGCTCCTCCTCGCCCTCCTCCTCCTCGCCCGGCGCGTCCAAATCGGCTTCCTCTCCTCCTCTGCGGCCCCTCCTGGGCGCAGCCCTGGCCAGCTATGGACCCGCGACCGGCTGTGACGACGAGCGCCCGACCCCGCCCCCGCGGCCCGAAAACGTTGGCCCGCCCCCTTAGATGGCCAACGAGCGCGTGGCATGCAGCGGTTGGTGGCGCGAATTCGAAAAGCGCGTCCGCCAAGCTCGCGACGATTGGGGGCTTGGTGGGTCGGTGGCCCCCCCAACACAAAAGCCATCTGCCAACTGTGGTTCCTGCAGCATGAGGAAAATAACAAAGAACGGCTCCAAGAAACAAAAGGAACATCTGCCATCTGCTCCAAGATTGGGAGTGTAAGCGAAACACAACGGGTAATGGAACCGGAGAAAACAAAACGCGCCAGGACCGGCGGCTAGAACGGCAGGACGGAACCCTTGACAAGACTGTCCTGTCGTCTCCAGGGCCCGCGAAGTTGGGGGGGTCTGCGTCCAGGGCTGACCCTCTGCTCGACAGGATGGAGGGCTCTGCGCGTTATGATCTCTTCTGGAGTCTTGGGTCGGAAGGGCGTGCGGTGGGTTCGTGGGGCGTTGGCGCGCGCAATGGTTTTTGACACCGCATCGATCGTTCAAGCTTCAATATATCGCGGCCAAGTTGAATTCCGTCGGGTCCAATGGCCTTACCATATCCCTCGATGCTTCCGCGTCACAGACTTCAACCTTGAACGCCTTCGCTGGCGTCGTTGGCGCGCCAACGCCGCATAGATCTACCGTAAAGGTGGGTCAAGGACAGAGGTGGGGGTTGGATGAACAAACGGCCCCTGGAGGAAGGACAAAAAGTGAACATCCAGCTGGGTTCGTCCCCAAGCCCCACCTCAAAAAAAAACCCTGCCACGAACCCCCGACTGGGGGCTTCCTGGAGTGCTGGTGGAGACCCTGGAAGTCGCTGGATGCTGCCCAGACGGCGGCCCAACAGACGCCGCAGAGCTTCTGGGAGCTCTTGGACACCTGATATGGGTCCTGACGGAAGCCCCTGGCAGCACCCCCTAAGCCCTTTGAGGACCCGCGGCTGCCATCCCAAACCTCCGACGTCGTGATTTTTTCACAACGTCGACCGCCAAAGGTCTGGACCCCTTCCCCGGGACCGGTGTTTCATCCTGTGTGGTGTTTTGACGCGTCCCGAGGCCTGGCAAGGACCCCTGGAGGCCGAAAGTAGCGGAAACCTCGCGCCGTGATTTCTTCACGGTGTGAGGAGGTCTGCGGGATTAGGCACCCCCTGGAAGCCAGTGCCGACCGCCCGGGGAGGTCTGGCATGCCAGCCTGTGGCAGCCTCGCCGGAGCCCCTGCCCAGAGGCCGCAGGAGGCGCTCCGTGGAGGCGCCCGAAGCCCGCAGAGGCTCCCCTGACCTTCCAGCGTACTCAACAATAGCACTCCAGACCTATAGATCTATCTGGGCTGCCTCAAACCTCGACGGGAATTAGAACGTCGACGTCCTGGTGTTATTTTTAGCCTGGAAGGTGAGGGTCTCTCCTGCAGGTGGAGGGTCCTGGCCAACCGAGGACTCCCAACAGAGGGCCCCGCAGGCGGCCGGGGAGTGCGCGGAGGCCCCAGATCTGCGTGCCCTGACCAGAATACCAAGGAGATCCGACGCTCAAAAGAGGAAACTGGAGCAGGCGGTTTTGGGCCGTTTGTGGCCTCTGGGGGCCCCCGCCAGACCCTCTCAAGCCATGAACAAAAACATGACGGGAGGTTTCTCACTAATTTCGGCCTCTGGAGGCCCTCACTGGGCCTCGGGACCGTCAAAACACGACTCAGGATCAGAAACCGGTCCCCGGGAAGGGGCCCAAACCTCAGGGGGTCGACGTCCTGACAAAATCATGACGGCGGGGGTCTGGGTCGCCGTGTTTCGGGAGGGACAGACACGACTCGGGACGAGAAGCCGGGCCTTCCGAAGTGGTCTGGACCTCCGGGGCCCACGCGCATCGAGCAGCATTGGAGCGGCCCCGTGTCTGGGAAGGCACGCGACGTCTCGCTGCGAGGCTCCCTGGATCGAGAGGACAAACGGCTCTTCCAACGCCCTTGCGACGATAGACGCGGCCCAGGCGCACTGTGTGTTCCCTGCAGTCGCTCTGTGCACGTGGTGTGGCCCCTGGCCTGCAGTAGGAATGCCAAGGATGCACAAGGGAATGGCAAACACGTGCGACAAACAGAGGCACGAAGTGCTCATAACGTTTCTCACGGTCTCTTCCACGCGCCTCGGCCTCACCCCTGGCCGTCCGTGAACAGAACGAGCCGTGAACGCTGGCGCGTCTCATGTGTCAGACCGCCTCGCCCCTCGCGGCGCTCCTCTTCCTGGGGTATGCGCTCGCGAAGCTCGGCCAGCGCCGTGGCCAGCTGGAGCAGGACCTGTGCCGGCAGCTCCTGCAGGAGAGGCCAACATCAAACCGATAAGTCGGATCGGCAATCGAAACGAACCGGATCGGCAGAAATCGGCAGCCGAGCCGGGAGAAGTCGAGGCGGCAGAAATCGGCAGGCAAGTACGCCTGCGCTGGGACATCGGGACCCGAATCGGAATCCCGAGCCGAATCGAATCGGGATCGAAAGCCTTCGACATCGGAGCAACCCGGAGAACTCCAAAAACGAGCCCTGCTCCTGTGAAGGGGCCCCAGGACACACAAACAAATACACACAAATAAACAGATTCCCCCTATTTTCCAATATTTTCTGGGTCTTTGTCTTCCCCCCCACTTCCCACATTTTCCCATATTTTCTGGGGAATCGAGGATTCATGGTGTCTGTGTGTGTTTTTTCCTCTCCTGCTCCCGGGCGGGCAGCGAAGGGGGGGGAGAGCAGCGGGGGCGGCAGGCACCCGCCGGGCCCGCCCACCGGCTCCGCCCGCGGCGGCGCGGGGCGCGAGGCCGCGGCGGCGCGGGCCCCGATCGGCAGCGCAAGCGCGGTGGATGCGCGCCAACGACGCCACCGCGAAGAGAAGAGACGGCACGGTTCGAGCAAGGCGGCCGTCATCAGCATCATCATCATCATCATCATCATCATCATCATCATCATCATCATCATCATCATCATCAGCAGCAGCAGCAGCAGCAGCATCATCATCATCATCATCATCAGCATCATCATCATCATCATCAGCATCAGCATCAGCATCAGCATCATCATCAGCATCATCATCAGCATCAGCATCAGCATCAGCATCAGCATCAGCATCAGCATCATCAGCATCATCAGCATCAGCATCAGCATCAGCATCAGCATCAGCATCATCAGCATCAGCATCATCATCAGCATCATCATCATCATCATCATCATCATCATCATCATCATCATCATCATCATCATCATCATCATCATCATCATCATCATCATCATTACCAACGATGCCACCGCGAAGAGAAGAGACGGCACGGTTTGAGCAGGGCGCCCGTTGCCAACCACTGCCCCTTCCCGCAGTCACGGGCGCGATCGTCAGCAGTGTAACGACAGTGGCCCCCATCGCTGCCACGTCGCAATCGCTATCGCCGTCCCCCACGCGGCGGCAATGGCGATCGTCATTGCTATGAGCAGCCGTTTGTCGCATGTTTCACAAAACATGACTTGCCCCATGAGGACAAGATCATGTGCTTGAAGTGTGGTGGTACCCCATGTGCCCACACGGCCTCGGCCTGAGATGCCCCCGAGTGTTTGAGATGCGGCGGCTGCCCGTGGGGATCCGCCCGTACGGTCCTGGCCTTCCCCGCGCTTGCTGGGGTTACTGCGGCTGCCATGTGCGGGGCCGTGAGCGTGTTCTTATTCGGCGTTTCGACATTGGGCGGAAGGGGTCTGGCTCAGGACCTCTGCTTCATGCGACTGTTTGCAACACTGCCTCCTATGGGGAAGCCTCCACCTGCTCGCAACAGGCGCCCCAAACAGCCAATATCTACTCCATGAGGGGGGGGGTGCGAGGGCCAACGCCGATTGGCAAAACAATGAACAAGAAAGCGGTCGCACTGTCTGCCCCCAGGGCTCCCGCCCGCGGCTTTCGGGAATCGTGGTGGGCCACACGGCCCCGCACACCGGATCCTGGCATTGGTGGCCCCGTGTGTGTGTTCGGGGTTCCGCGGTTGCCCACGAGGTCTCGCCCACACGGCCCCGGCCTCGGCTGAGCGCATTTTTTTTCATGTGCGTCCAGAAAGGGCGTTCTGGGGGGGAGGGGCGGGGGAACGAAAGGGGGCATAACGTAGCGCCCCCCCCCCCCCCCCAAGACTGTGGTGCCGGACGCGCTGCGGCAGTGCCGGGGACGCACTGAGGGGGGGAAGCGCTACGTGATGGGGGGGAGACGGGGGAGGGGAGGGCAGGGGGCATGACGCGTGTTTTTTTGGCCCGGAGGGTAAAACAAAACAAGCACTCTCACTGCCCCTGGGTTTCTGGACTGCGGCGGCTGCCCATGGGATTCCATGCGCACGGCCCTGGCCCCCAGCTGTGGGTCGGGCATGTCCTGCGACGGGCGGATCCTGGGAGAAACGCAACCAATAGTCTAAACATGCGCACACAGAGCCGAACATGGTCAAAGAAATCGTCCCCAGACTACTGTTTCACTGCTTCTAGATATTCCTCCTGTAGAGGGACACGCCCGACTGAAGGCCTGGCTGCCCCTGCGCGGTCCGGGCTGCGCTCGGCGCCCGTGCCGTGCCGCCCCGCCCCCACGATGCGACAACCAAGGCCCGTGGCCCGCGGTGAGCGCGCCCTCGGAGGTCCCGCCCGCGCGCTCCCGGCCTCGGGGGGCGTTCCAGAGAGGGGCGCCGATGAGGCCGCGGCCGGAGGGAGAACACCGCGCGCAGCTGTCGCAGTAGCGCCCCCCCCCCCAGCCGCGGCCGCGGCCGCAGCTGGAAGAGGAGAACCATAGCGAGCAGCATCGCGACGATTCCCCTCCTAGCCGCGGCCGCAGCCGCGACCGCAGCGACCGCGGCAGGAAGACAGAACAACCCACAAACAAATCGCAATGGCAGCATACACCAGAGGGGCGCAGATCATGGCTTTGGCCACCCAAAAGTGTACGACACAACTGGGTGCAATGCCCAACAAATGCTGCCCCAAACCAACAGCGGCCGCTGCTGGGCTGGCGGCTTGTCGGCTCAAGTAAGCACAATCCGCGGGCGACACCGACAGCGAGTCCTGCTTAATTGAACAAGAGCTGCTGCCCGTCTTTGTACCCCTCCTTTCCGCACCTGCTTCGATCGTCCCGAATGGCCGGCGGCGCGTGCGAGGCCCAGGATGGGGCCGGGGGCGCATTGAAAGAAGAAGACGCGCCGTGAGATCTGGGGAGACATCATGGCACCCGCCAGGATCTCCCCCCCCCCCACCCCAGTCACCGCCCCCCTCTTGGCCGCCCCCGACGGCTGCCCCTTCCAAGCACATTGTGATAGCCATCGCGGCCTCGGAGCCTTCCACAGAAGCGCTCGTGCCCATGTGCGCTCATCCCTGCGTCCACGTTGCCCTTCGACCGGCCCAACGCCGGTGCAGCTGCGTGTGGCGCAGGGCGCGGCCCCTTCCTCAACTGCTGCGGGTCGCAGGTGTATGGAGCTCGGGCCCCTGTGGAGCACGATTAGCGTGAGGGGTGTGCCGCGAGGGGCGGCATGAGCGCGCGGCCACTGGGGCCGTATATGGAGCTCCCTGGCACGGCACGAAAGGTGCGAGGAGTGTGCCGACATGAGCGCGGGGTGGCATGCGCGCGCAAGCCCGCTGGAGTCGTAGAGGTGCAGCTCTTTCAGGGGGGGAGGACGCGTGTGAGGGGTGTGCCACAATGGAGATGAAAGCCCGACAACACGGGAGAGGTGGGCATTCGCCAGTGAGGAGTTTGCTTTTTGGGTTGAGCCCCTGCCGCGTTCGTAACATCGTAGCTCTCGTTACTCGGCGAATCAGCATGGCAGATGTAGTTTTTCGGCGAAGGAAGCCAATCCAACCCAGGTCAACGGCCGCGATTCTCACAACAACACGTTTTCTTTTCTGTTGTCTTCTCGTCCGTGTATCTTCTCCGTGAAACTTCTGCAGTTTGTTTAAACGAGTGTGCGCCGCGCTGAGGTGAGGACCACATTTTGAAAAGGAACCGCCCTCAATCCATGAAACTCTTGCAAATGTTTAAAATCAATGTGCGTGGCGCTAAGGCGAGGGCCACATTTTGAAAAGGGCCCGCCCTCGATCCGCGAAATGTTTGCAAATGTTTAGAACGCATGTCCGCCGCGCTAAGGCGAGAACCACATTTTGAAATCACCCGCCCTCAATCCGTGAAGCACTTGCAATAAAACGGATGTGCGCTATAAGTGGTGTGGAAGTCTCAGGCGAAACGCCTTGCCCGCCCTAAAAACTGTTCTCGGGGTGCGACAGGGAGAAATCAGGTATAAAGAAAGGGAATGGAGGAGGGGGCGGAGGATGAGGGGGCGGAGCAGCATCAGCAGCAGCAGCAGCAGCAGCAGCATGCGGGAGGAGCTAAAAGGGTGTGTAAGAATCCCGCGGGTTTCCCAGAATTCGTGCTGGTCTGCCAGGTGAGCCCGTGCGCCAGGTGAGCGACACAAGTTCTTGCTCTGACCAGGGCGGGACACGGAAGCGAAAGGGATCGGAAGTGCTCGGCGGGGCTCTGGGACCCCAGCAGGGGGAAGAAGGGGAGGAGGGGGAGGGGGAGGAGGAGAGGAGGAGGAGGAGGAGGAAGAGGAGGATGAAGATGATGAGAAGGAGGACCAGTGCAAACCCAAGAGCCATCAACGATGTTGGAATAAACCCTCCCTCCAAGCTCCCTCTTCATAGGCCCCTACAGCGGTTACAGGCGTTACAGAACCCGGAACAGCAGTGCCAAAACATAGTTTTCGGGATTCCAACGCCACGGATCAACCTGACTCCGCGTCTTGGCGATCATGATTCGTGCCAGGACGCCGTTCCTGGGTCTTCAAGACCGCGAACCAACGTGACTGTTGCAACCGCATAGTCCTGAGTCTCTCCCAAACGCTATTCTTGCACGTCAATCATGGGAGCCCGTGGAACTCTTGCAAATGTTGTATACGAATGTGCGCAAGCGAGAGCTACAAGTTGAAAAGGAACCGACCTCAATCCGTGAAGCTCATACACATGTTCAAACATGTGCGCGGTGCTGAGGCGAGAACCACGTGTTGAACAAAAGCCACCCTCAATCCGTGAAGCTCTTGCAAATGTTTAGAACGAATGTGCGCGGCGTCGGGGCGATCACCACATGTTGAAACTACCCGCCCTCTATCCGCGAAGCTCCTGCAAATGTTTCAAACGAATGTACGCCGCGCTACGGCGAGAGCCACATTGCGAAGACAGCCCGCCGTCCATCTGTGAAGCTGCTGTCATATTGTAAGCTTAGCTTCAGGGTCCTATAAACTGTCCTCAGGGTGCGACAGTGAGAAATTTGGTATAAGGAACATGAACGGAGGAGAAGGGGGGAAGAGGGGAGGAGGAGAAGGAGGAGGGAGAAGGGGAAGGAGAAGAGGAGGAGGAGGGGAGGAGGAGGAGGAGGAGGAGGAGGAGGAGGAGGAGGAGGAGGAGGAAGGAGGAGGAGGAGGAGGAGAGGAGGAGGAGGAGGGGGGGGAGCCCCGCGCGACAGCAGTCGGGCCCCCGCTCCCCCGCGCCCTTTGCGCTCTCCGAGCAGGCGAAGGCGCCCTCGCGCCTCGAAAACAGCCTCCAAACACCTGCGCCAGCCGCGCCCTGAGACCAGGCGAGTGGCACCGCCGCCAGTGACAAGCGCTGGCGCCTGCTCGGGCGAAGCTCGCGGCGTCGCAGGCCCGAGGGAGCCTGCGCAGGCCCGCCCCCCGAGGGGACCCTAGGAGGGGGAGGGGAACCAAGTAGGACGAGCCACAGGGCCCCCGAGCCAGGGGGGCCCGGCGACAGGGGGGGCATCTCGAGCCCGCCCCACCCAATACCCCACCTCCTCCCAGGGGGGGGACCCCCAGGGGGCCTGAACGCCCAAGGCCCCCTCCGCCGCCTTTCGCCAATTCCGCGGCTGGTCGCCGGCTCTACTTGTACCCCGCCGATACAGGCGGCACGGACCTCCCGCTGGCCATCCCGATGTGCTCACCAGGCCCCCGGCTTGTGCGTGTGCGTGGGAGGGGGGAGGGGGAGGGGGAGGAGGCGGCGGAGGAGGAGTGAGGAGGATGGGAGGAGAGGAAGGAGGAGGAGGAGGAAGAGGAGGAGGAGGGGGAGGAGAGGAGAGGAAGAGGAGGAGGAGGGGGAGGAGGAGGGGAGGAGGGGGGAAGGAGGAGGAGGAGGAGGAGGAGGAGGGAGGAGGAGGAGGATGAGGAGGAGGAGTAGGAGGAGGGGGAGAAGGGGGTGAGGCGGAGGAGGGGGAGGAGGAGGAGGAGGAGGTAGGAGGAGGAGGAGGAGGAAGGAGGAGGAGGGAGAGGAGGCGGAAGGAGGAGGAGGGAGGGGCGGGGGGGGGGGGGGAGGCTGGGGGCTCGCCGCCCGCCGGTGGCGGGGCCGTGGCGGTCACCCGTGCCGTGCGAGGACCACGCGGTGGCCGCTGGCCCGTGCAGAGGGCGCGGGCGGGGAGGGTCCTCCGCCTGGGGCCTCGCCGCGGCGGCCCAGACCACCGCCGCGGCCGCCTGCGCCCGACGACAACGGGCAGGTCGAGGGGGGAGGGAGACGAGGGCGAAGAGGAGGAGGAGGAGGAGGAGGAGGAGGAGGAGGGCGAAGAGGCGGATGAGGCGGAAGAGGAGGAGAAGGAGGAGGAAACGGAGGAGCAGTAGGAGGAGGAGCAGGAGGAGAGGGCGAGGAGGAGGAGGAGGATGAGGAGGAGGAGGAGAGCGAGGATGGGGATGGGGAGCACAGGATGGAGCGAGGGAAGGAATGTAATATAAGAGTGCAGTATGGCAGCACGCAGAGCTCACGACTGCGACAATCTCTCGCGGGGTCAGGACCTTCGTGGCCTTGTGTGGAAAGAGCAACGCCGTGAGCTCACATATATGACAACGAGGACGTGCAGTAATTTCCGGTTTTGAACTCGGCGGCCAGCCGAAGCTGGGGAACACCAAGATGAGATGGCTCTGGGAAGGGCCTCGGTAGACCGAGGGAAGGGAGGGGGCAGGTGTAGAGGGTAGAAGAGGGTAGACGAGCTGAAGGGAGCTGGGTGACGCGGGCGGGGGGCGGCAGACGGAGATGCAATGGAAGCGGGACACGACGTGAAAGTACCCTGCGCATCACTGACGAAACAAGCGATCGCACGTCCCGAAACGTCAACCTCACCAGGGTCGAACAGAAGTGGGCAAAGGCGACGGAAAGAGGGCGGGGTGAGATGGCCAGCTTCACTCGCTGGCAATTGCGTTTAGCCATGTGGGTGTGGGGGCTGTTCGGCGAAGCTGGCCTGATCAGTATGCACAGAATCCGACTAGCAATCGATGAGGATAGCGCCATTCTTCCTCTCCACTGGCAAAATTCAAGCCGCCTGGTACAGACTTTGCGGCATGTACTCCACATGAGAATTAACTAATCAAACAAATAATGCATATAGGTCGAAAATAGGTTAGAGACGCGTGCAGTACAAATTGTACTCCTCAAGATGCTGCCCTGATTCGGTCCCGACCCACACCATGAACTTCACGATAATCCAACCCCCGCACCTCCGCTTCCAACTTGAACATTCACGCATCCCTGGCCCAAGCCGCAGCCTCCGTCTGGATCCGACAACGAACCCTAAACTAAAAAAAAACCTAGCCCGCCTCCGGCCTCCTCCACCTCCTCCTCCTCCTCCTCCTCTCCTCCCTCCTCCACCCCCTCCTCATCTCTCCCCCCCCCCCCTCCTCCTCTTCCTCCTCCTCCTCCTCCTCCTCCTCCACTCCTCCTCTCCTCCTTCCTCCTCCTCCTCTCCTCTCCTCTCTCCTCCTCTCCTCCTCTCCTCCCCCTCCCCGCCCCCGCCTCCTCCTCCCCTCCTCATCCTCTCCTTCCTCCTCCTCCTCCTCCTCCTCCGCCTCACCTCTCCTCCTCCTCCTCCTCCTCCCCCTCCTCTTCCCTCCTCCCTCCTCCCTCCTCATCCTCTCCTCCTCCTCCTCCTCCTCCTCTCCCCCTCCTCCTCTCTCTCCTCCTCCTCTCGTCCTCCTCCTCCTCCCCCTCCCCCGAACTCGTGCTCGCTGCCACCTCATCCTGGCGTCCCGACTCCGGCCGCACGGCCGCCAGCGTGCGCACGGGGCCGCCTCCGGCAGGACGCGCGGAGCCCGCGCGACGCCGGCGGCGGCCGCGGCCAGGTCCTGGGCCGCTCCCGAGAGGCGGAAGAGGAGGAGGAGGAGGAGGAGGAGGAGGAGGGGGAGGAGGAGGGGGAGGAGGAGGAGGAGGAGGAGGAGGAGGAGGAGGAGGAGGAGGAGGAAGGAGGAGGAGGAGGAGGAGGAGGAGGAGGGGGGGGGGAGGGGGAGGGGAGGAGGAGAGGAGAGGAGGAGGAGGAGGTGGAGGAGGAGGGCGGAGGAGGAGGAGGAGGAGGAGGAGGAGGCGGTAATATTTGACGTGCTGGCGCCAGGTGCGCGTCTCGAGAGGCCGTCACGCCAGCGCGTCTCCAGGCTCCACGGGGGGGGGGACAGCGGGAGCGCAAAGCGAGCGCCCGACCTGCTGATGTCGCCACCCGGGGCCGAGAGCAGCTGGGGGAGGAGGCAGGAGAGGAGCACGGGCAGGAGCACAGGCACGTCGTCCCGCGAGGGCCGCCGCTGCCCCCATCGGAGGGCGCTTCCTGCCCTGCTGTGGCTCGGGCAGGGAGCTCCCCCTCCTCCTCCTCCTCCTCCTCCATCCTCGTGCCTGTCCCCTCCTCCGCCTCCCCTCCTCCTCCCTCCTCCTCCTCCTCCCTTCCGCTCCTCCGCTCCGCCCTCCTCCTCCTCCTCCTCCTCCTCCTCCTCCTCCTCCTCCTCCTCCTCGGTGGGGCCGGAGCAGATTTCGTAACCCCCCCTTTCCCAATCCCCCCCTTTCGCCCGGCCCGAGATTGGGAGATCTCCAGCTCTGCCTTCCTTCGTGTTCTTGCGGCGCAGAACGACCAGGGCTGGGCAGCACCCGTGCCGCATCCTTCATCGTCAAGCGTTCCCTTCTCCTCCTCCTCCTCTTCCTCCTCCTCTTCCTCCTCCTCCTGTATGTGCTTCTCCTGCTGGTTATGACTGATTACCCCTACTGGGTCCACCTCCTCGTCTTCCTCACCCCCTTCTGCTCGCGTGCTGTCCGCTGGGGGGGGGGTGCGGGAAGCGAGCAGCACCTAGAGGTCGAGCACGCTTGTTCGGCGCGTCGCCCCGGCGGCCCCAGCGACGCGCCTGTGCCCTGCAAGCGGACAGCGTGCCGCTCCGCCCCGCGGGGCTCGAGGCTGGCAACGCTCGGGGCCTGGACGCTCAGGGGCCGGGAGGTTGACCAGCCTCAAACGTATCCCTGTCCCTAAGGTGGGCGAGCAAAAAGCGAGGACCATCTCAGGGACAGGCCCTCGAAAGCTGAGGGAACCCTCCAGATCGGCATCGAGGTGAGGTGATGGCAAACACAGGGAGAGGGATGTGCTTCCAAACTGGTAAGAGGTGAGCTGCGCGTCGCGCCGCAGGCGTGGTGGGCCGGCGCTGGCGGCGCGGCACGCTGTCCAGAAGCTCCCGGCCGCGAGTCCCGGCACCTTGCCTCCACGAGCTCTTGGCGGGGCGGCGGGAGCTCTGCGGCCCTGCCAACCTCCCGCGTGCTCCTTCGGCGGGGAGCGGCCAGGGCTGGGCTGCACCCGCGTCGCTCCCTGCATCGGCAGGCGTTCCCTCCTCCTTCTCGTGCTCCTCTGTGTGTCTTTCTCGTGCTGGCCATGACTGGTTTCGTGGTGAGTGGTCCGAGCAGCAGTGGGTGCAACCGAGCGCAGTCCGGCAGACTGAGCAATGCCACTCGCAAGACAGGCTGGCGGCTGGAGAAGCTTGGCAGCTCCGTGCGCTCAGGGCCATCGCCCTCCCACGCGCTGCGGATGCTCTCAAGTGCAAGCGGTGGCAGCTGGCAGCACCGAGCCTGCGAAGCGACAGACCGCACTTCTTCTCCGAGCTCCTCCTGCAACTGCCCTGGCGGCAGCGTCCTGCTGCAACTGCGGCCCTCTTCGACGAGGGCGAGGGGGAGAGGAGGGCCCAGGAGGGCCCAGAAGCGAATCGTCGAGTCGAAGCGGCGATAGAAATGAATCGGATCGGCGGAAATCGGCAGCCAAGTCGGGAGGAGTCGAATCGGCTGAAATCGGCAAACTTGTACGCGTCCAGTGAGAAGTCGGAACTCAAATCGGAATCACAAGTTGAATCGAATCGGAATCGGAATCTATCGAAATCGAATCGGAATCGAATCGGGGGAATCGAAATGAGCCCTGCCCGGAGGGGAGGAGAGTGCAGTACGGACAGAACGGGGCGGGCGGAAGTACCCCAGGAGGCTCGTCGAAAGCCCAGTCGAGTTGCTCACTATTGTCTAGACAGGCTTTGGTTGTGAAGCGTAGGGGTCTCCCATCAACTCGACCTGGAAACCAACAACCTTCCAACTGATATGAATAGGGATGCCACGATGAAACAGCTGACTCAGAGGAGTAAGGAAACGCATCAACGCCAGGGAATATGCGAGCGGGAAGGAAATCAATTCTGTCCACTGAAGAACTGAATCGTATCAGAGTGGGCTCCACACATCAAATTGCACAACCACTAACACGGTGAACCGCAACAGTGACGCTATCACGGAATCGGTACGCGGCCCCGTCCGCGTCAGGATAGGCCTGTACGTCACTCGATGGTCATTGGCCCCCTTACCGGCACTTTCCATATTCGTGGCGAACAAAACTGCAGAGGCCCCCCTCTTTCGCGCACTCGAAAGAAGCAATCCTACTCCTCCCCCTCCTCCTCCTCCTCCTCCTCCTCCTCCTCCTTCTCCTCAACCTTCTCCTCCTCCTCCTCCTCCTCCTCCTCCTACACCTCCTCCTCGTCCTCCTCCCCCTCCTCCCCCTCCTCCTCCTCCTGCTCCTCCGTCTCCTCCTCTTTCGCGAGTGTAACTGCACTCCTGCGCAAAAACTTGGATGGAGTGCACGCCGCGCCCCTCTTGCTGAGCACAGCGCCGTCCGTCCCTCCGTGATCGTAGCGTCGACGCTGCGCGCACGCAACCGACCATGCAGTGCCTACCGTGGCTACCCGCTGCTGGCCGGTTGCATGTTGGGAGGCCGAGTGGGGGTGAGCGAGGCAGCTTGCGGCCTGCCTCTTGGGACACCGAGCCCCGCCCTCACACCCGCACCGCGCCCACACCCGCACCGTCGCCCTCATCCTCACGCCCACCGTCGCCCTCAGCTTCGCCCTCGCCCCTCCGCCTCCCCGCTCCCTCCTCGCGCCGACCCTCGCCACCTTCACCCTCGCCCTCCCCCGTCGACCCATGCCTTACTTGCACTCTCACGTTCACCCTCGCGCTCCCCATGCCCCGCGCGCCCCTCCCCACTTCTCCTCCACCTCTCCCGCCGGCCTGTCCTCGCCGCCTTACCCATCGGTCGGAAGAAGGAGGTAGAAGCATGAAGTAGGAAGGTGTTGAAAATAGACTGCGTGTCCGCCCGCCTCCTAAAGAGGGCGGAAAAGGTGAAGCCACTCGATCATTGAAGTAGGAAGGCGCTAAAAGTGGACTGGGATCTGGGAATCCAAGAATACCTACTTTCAACGACCGATGGGTAAGAAGGAGAGGGAGCGGGGGGATCAGACTCCTGGGGGGAGAGATCCGCCAGCAGAGCCGCGTCGGCCAGCGAGCGCTGCAGCGCGAGCGACAGGGTGCCACAGACCTCAACTTAGGCGAACAGGGGTGTCCCGTGGAGAGCATGGAAGAGCGGAGGAAGATGGTGCGGAGGATTCCCAAGCTTGCTGTACAGTCGGACCTAGGCCAGAAGAGCACCCCTCAAGAACATGAGACCTCCGTCGGGCAAAATGAACAGAAGAAAATTCACAGAACATCCCTACGCGCCAGAGGATCCACCAACACACAGTCTCGTTCGGGCGTGGCGGGTCCCCGCCCGCGGGGTGGGGCTGCGGGGGTGGGGGGGGGGCTGAGAGACCACTGGCCCATTGTGGGTGGGCATCGGCCAGACGATGCGTGCGCGAGGTCGGGCATGTCCCCCTACAGGAGGCATTTGGACGAAAATGTAACAGTAGCCCAAGCATACCAGAAAAATATAAGAAACATATAAAACAAAATCTTCAAAATCAGCAATCATGAAAAAATGCTAGAAAAATCGTCCCCAAATTATTTTCCTCTACTTTTTTTTGTTGCATATTCCTCCTGTAGGGGGCCACGCCCGACTTACTGCTGGCGCCGCCCGACGCCCGACGCCCGACGCCGCGGCGGGGGCCGCCTGCCGCCCCGGGCGGCAGCACGAATACATATATATATATATATAGTATATATATATATATATATGTATATATATATATATATATATATATGGGTCCTGGCCTATTCCCCCCCCGCTGGAATCGATATTTCGTTTTGGAGGGATTTCGGTCCACCGCAAACGCTTCACGCACGAATTGGGGGGGGGAGTCGTTTCGTTTGCTCGGAGATCCTTGGACACTCATCTCCTTGGCCAGGGCCCATATATGTATATACATGCATACTCGTGCTCTCCATTCCCCTCCACACGTTCCCTCACCTCGCTCTCTCAGCCGTCCCGTGGGCGCCCGCTCCGCCAGGGCAGTGATGATGGTGGGAGTTCGTGTGGTGGTGGGTGGTGGGTGGGGGGGAAGGGGGGGGGCAAAAAAAAAAAATCGCCCCCCCCCGCCACGAGCCGGCCATCACAAGCGGCGCTGGCCGCAAGGGAGCAGCAGCAGGCCTCCACGGTTCCAGGCCGCAGTGGAGTGCCCCCGAGCACTCCAAGGGGGAGCGCATGGGCGTAGGCTTAGGCTTCGGCTTCGGCTTAGGCTTGGGCTTAGGCGTGGGATTAGGCTTATGATTGGGCTTATGCTTAGGCTTAGGCTTAGGCTTGAGCTTAGGCTTAGGCGTAGGCTCAGGCTTGGGCTTAGGCTTGGGCTTAGCTTAAGCTTGGGCTTAGGCTTGGGCTTGAGCTTAGGCTTAGGCTCAGGCTTGGGCTTAGGATTGGGCTTCGGCTTATGCTTAGGCTTAGCTTAGGCTTAGGCTTGGGCTTGAGCTTAGGCTTAAACTAAGGCTTAGGCTTAAGCTCAGGTTTGGGCTTAGGCTCGTAATGTGGACTAGGCTTAGGCTTAAGCTTGGGCTGGGGGGCTTAGGCTTAAGCTTATGCCTAGGCTGATGCTTATGCTTATGTTTAGGCTCTAGGCTTAGCTTAGGCTTAGCATAGGCTTATCATCGGCTTATCATAGGCTTAGCATAGGCTTGCCTTAGTCTTAGCTTAGGCGTAGCTTAGGCTTGGGCTTAGCTTAGGCTTGGGCTTAGGCTTAGCTTAGGCTTAGGCTTAGATTATGCTTAGGCGTAGGCTAAGGCTTAGGCTTAGGATTGAACTTCGGCTTGAGCTTAGGCTTAGGCTTAGGCTTAGGCTTAAGCTTAGGCTTAAGCTTGGGCTTGGGCTCAGGCTTAGGCTTATGCTTGGGCTTAGGACTAGGCTTAGGCTTGGGCTTAGGCTTAGGCTTGGGCTTAGGCTTAGATCCGGCTTATCATAAGCTTATCATAGGCTTAGCTTAGGCTGAGGCTTGGGCTTAGCTTAGGCTCAACTTAGGCTTAGCTTGGGCTTAGCTTAGGCTCAGCTTAGGCTTAGCTTAGGCTTAGCTTAGACTTATGTTTAGGCTTGGGCTTAGGCGAAAGATTCGGCTTAGGCTTAAGCTTAGGCTTGAGATTAAGATTAGGCTTAGGCGTGGGCTTAGGCTTGAACTTAGGCTTCGGCTTAGGCTTAGGCGTGGGATTAGGCTTAAGCCTAGGTTAAGCTTGGCTGAGGCTTAGGCTTGGGCTTAGGCTTAGGCTTAGGCTTGGGCTTAGGTTTGGGCTTAGGCCTAGGATTGGGCTTAGGCCTAGTTAGGCTGAGGCTTGGGCTTAGGCTCAGGCTTAGGCTGAGTCGTGGGCGTAGGCTCATGCTTAGGCTTACGATTAGGCTTGGGCTGAGGCTTGAGCTTAGGCTTGGGCTTAGGCTTAGGCTTAGGCTTGGGCTTAGGCTTAGGCTTAAGCTTAGGCTTAGGCTTGGGCTTGAGCTTAGGCTTAGGCTTGAGCTTGGGCGTAGGCGTAGGCTTAGGCTTAAGCTTGGGCTCAGGCTTAGGCTGATGCCCAAGCTTGGGCTTAAGCTTTAGGCTTAGGCTTAGGTTTTAGGCTAAGGCTTAGGCTAAGGCTTGGGCTTAGGCTTGAGATTGGGTTTATGCTTAGGCTTAGGCTCAGCTGAGGCTTAGGCTTAGTCTTGGGCTTAGGCTTAGGCTTTAAGCCTAGGCGTAGGCTTAGGCTTAGGCTTGAGCTTAGGCTGAGGCTTCGGCGTGGGCTTAGGCTTGGGCTTAGGCTTAGGCTTGGGCTTAGGCTTAGGCTTAAGCTTAGGACCAGGCTTGGGTGTAGGCTTAGGCTTCGGCTTCGGCTTAGGCTTGGGCTTAGGCGTGGGATTAGGCTTATGAGTATGCTTATGCTTAGGCTTAGGCTTAGGCGTAAGCTTAGGCTTAGACTTGAGCTTAGGCTTCGGCTTAGGCTCAGGCTTGGGCTTAGGCTTGGGACTATCTTAGGCTTGGGCTTAGGCTTAGGGTTGGGCTTGGGCTTAGGCTTAGGGTTAGGCGTAGACTTGGGCTTAGGCTTGGGCCCAGGATTTGGCGTAGGCTTAAGCTTGGGCTGGGGGCTTAGGCTTAGGCTTAGGCTTATGTCTAGGCTTATGACTAGACTTGGGCTTAGGATTTGGCGTAGGCTTAAGCTTTGGCTGGGGGGTTATGCTTAGGCTTAGGCTTATGGCTAGGCTTATGATTAGGCTTAGGCTTAGCTTAGGCTTGTCATCGGCTTATCGTAGGCTTAGCATAGGCTTATGCTTAGGCTTATGATTAGGCTTAGCTTAGGCTTAGCTTAGGCTTGGGCTTAGCTAGGCTCGCTTAGGCTTAGCTTAAGCTTAGCTTAGGCTTATAATAGGCGTAGCTTAGGCTTAGGCTTAGACTTAGGCGAAGGCTTAGGCTTAGGCTTCGGCTTAGGAATAGGCTTATGCTTAGGCTTAGACTTAGGCTTGATCGTAGGCTTGAGCTTAAGCTTAGGCTTGGGCTCAGGGTTGGGCTTAGGCTCTGGCTTTGGGCGTAGGCTTAGGCTTTAGGCTTGAGCTTAGGCTTAGGCTTAGGCTGAGGCTTGGGCTAACGCCCAGGCTTAAGCTTAGGCTTGGGCTCGGGCTTGGGATTGGGCTTATGCTTAGGCTTATGCGTAGGCTTAGGCTTAGGCTTAGGCTTGGGCTGGGGGGTTAGGCTTAGGCTTAGGCTCAGGCTTAGGCTTAGATTAAGCCTATCATAAGCTTATCATAAGCTTATCATAGGCTTAGCTTAGGCTTAGGCTTGGGCTTAGCTTAGGCTCAGCTTAGGCTTGGCTTAGGCTTAGCTCAGGCTTAGGCGTAGGCTTAGATTAAGCTTAGGCTTAGGCTTAGGCTAATGCTTCGGCTTCGGCTTTGGCTTAGGCTTGATATTAGGCTTAGGCTTAGGCTTAGGCGTGGGCTTAGGCTTGGACTTAGGCTTCGACTTGGGCTTAGGCTGAGGCTTGGGCTTAGGCTTCAACTTAGGCTGAGGCTTAGGCTTAGGCTTAGGCTTGGGCTTAGCTTTGGGCTTAGCTTTGGGCTTGAGCTTAGGATTAGGCTTATGCCTAGTTAGGTTGAGGATTGAGCTTAGGCTCAGGCTCATGCTTAGTCTTGGGCTTAGGCTTAGGCTTGGGCTTGGGCTTAGGCTTAGGCTCAGGTCTAGGCGAGGGAGTGAGGGCACATTGCTCAGGCTGGCTCCTGCGCGGGGACCTGGCTCAGGGGCTCGCGACATCGTGGTCGCTCATGGGTCGCGCGGTCTTTTTTTTCTCCTGCGAGCGAATGCTACTAACCCAACCCCCCTCGAGTCATGACAACATCATGACGGAACATTTCTCACTATTTTTGGCCTCTGGAGGCTCTCACCGGGCCTCGGGACCGTCAAAAACGATTCAGGATGAGAAACAGGTCTCGCGGGGAATGGGTCCAGACCTCTGAAGGTCGACGTCATGACAAAAATCATGACGTCGGGGGTTGGGGAATCTCCATGAAAGGGCAAACCGGACTAGGCTGGACAGGCCCAAGACTGAGCCAGATACGGCTGGAACGAACGGGCTTGCAGTCGGGAGCTTTTGGTGAGCGTGTCGCAGCGGTGGCCCCGGAGACATGCCACGCCCTCCGCGCGGATAGCGCGTCGCTCCGCTTCGCGGGTTTAGAGGACAGAGAACTATGCACATACACCGATTCTGGCCAGGCCCACCCTGAGCCCAGGATCGGTGCATACGCCCTCCTGCCTTGGCCAGGAAGGCATATGCACCGATCCTGGGTCAAGGATGGGCCTTGCCAGGATCGGTGCATGTGCATAGTTCTCTTCGCCCGAGGGTTTGGGAGCTGGGAGGAGGCTCGAGGCGTGGGCGCCTGGGGGCCTGGAAGTGGCTGCAGCGTGCCGCCCCGAGGCATGGCGGGCCAGGACTGGCGCCGCGACACGCGGAGCGAAAGTGTTCGACCGCAGCGTTCCAGCACCCCCCACTCGAACGAAGGATTGCACAAAAAAAAAAACTTTTTTTGTTGAAGGATTGCAAAACAAAACCCTTCGAAGGTTTTTTTTGCAATCCTTTTTTTTGCCACCCGCTCCTCATCACGGGCGTCCCCGAGGGGTGGCCCCCCTGGACGAAGCAAGACGGCCCCGAGAGAGTTCCAAGGTGGCCTCGGGCCTGCAGAGGCACAGAAGGCCCCCCCAAACGCCTCCAACACGCGCCCGATAAGCCCCCAGGAGGCTCGCAATGGCGGATCCCGTAAACCCTGATACCAATCATGTTGTCGTCTCTTGGGGGCGTATTTTTCACTTCCGCCACCTTCCGCCGCCCTTCTGCCGGCTTCCGCCGGCGGAGGCAACCTTGTCTTACTTCTGCTGACCTTCCGCCGCCTTCCGCCGAGGAAGGGATGGCAACTCCTTCGATCCTTGAAGGGAGAGCAATTTCTGGAACGCACCAATTGGCGCCTCAAGAAACTTCAGCCCGACACCCGGCGCCCGCTTCCTCGGCGTAGCTATAAAAGGAAGAAATAACAACTGCATAAACACAAACCTGCGGCGCTCCGCGCGGAGCGCCCATAGCTTATGCTCATGGCTTCGTTTCTTCTTCGGCTTCTGGAACGCACCAAAAGTTCATGCTTATGGCAAGTCCTTCGATCCTCGAAGGCAGAGCCCTTTCTGGAACGCACCAATTGGCGCCCCCAACAACTGTAGCCCGACGCACGCCGCCCGCTTCCTCGGCGCAGCGCCGCCCGCCGCTCTGGCGGAGGCCCCAGGCCCCCGACGTCGTGTTTTTTTTCGCAGCGCCGACCCCCAGAGGCCTGGACCCCTTCCCCGGGCCCGGCATCTCCTCCCGAGCCGTTCCTCGACGGCCCCCCGGGGCCCGGCGGGGGCCTCCGCGGAGGCCGAAGATGGCGAGAAGACTCCCGCCATGATCTCTGTCACGACCCGAGGGGGGGTCTGGGTTCCTCGGCGCAGCGCCGCCCGCCGCTCTGGCAGAGGCGGCGCGCGGAGCCGCGGCCCGACGGCGCGCGCGGCCGCGCAGCCGCGCGGCGCGGCCCCGCCCCATGCGGAATTTCTACGCTCCGAGGCGCGGGCCGCGCCGGAGGGCCCCAGCGCCGCGAGCCTGCCGGGGCTCCTCCTCCACCTCCTCATCCACCTCCTCCTCGTCCTCCTCTTCCTCGTCGTCGTCGTCCTCCTCCTCCTCCTCCTCGATCTTCCTCCTCCTCCGCCTCCTCCTCCTCCGCGATCCTCCTCCGCAATTCTCCTCCTCCTCCTCCTCGTCCTCGTCCTCGTCCTTCTGGTCCTCCTCCTCCTCCTTCTCCTCTCCTCCTCCCTCCTCCTCCTCCTCCTCTATCCTCCTCTATCCTTTTCCTCCCGTCCTCTCCCCTCCTCCTCCTCCTCCCTCCTCCTCCCTCCTCCCTCCTCTCCTCCTCCTTCCTCTCCCTCCTTCTCCTCCTCCTCCTCCTCCTCCTCCTCCTGTTCGATCCTCCTCCGTCCTCCTCCTGCCCCTCCTCGTCCCGTTCTCCTCCTCCTCCTCCTCCTCCTCCTCCTCCTCCTCCTTCTCAACCTCCTCCTCCTCATCATCATCATCATCATCATCATCATCATCATCATCATCATCATCATCATCAGCATCATCATCATCATCATCATCATCATCATCATCATAATCACATTATCATCATCATCATCATAACAATCATCATCATCGTCATCATCATCATCATCAACAGCATCATCATCATGATCAGCATCATCATCATTATCAGCATCATCACCATCACCATCAGACTCACCATCATCATGACCATCATCATCATCGTCGTCGTCATCATCATCACAATCACCACCACCACCATAAATAATAATCACCATCATCATCATCATCATCATCATCATCATAATCATCGTCATCATCGTCAACGTCATCGTCATCATCACCATCACCATTGTCATCATCAACATCATCATCAACATCATCATCATCATCATCAACATCATCATCCTCTCTTCCTTCTCCTCCTCTTCCTCCTCATCCTCGTTCCATCCTCCTCCTCCTCCTCCTCCTCCTCCTCCTCCTCCTCCCGTGATGATGTGATCCTCTGGCGGATAAGTACACATCCCTACGGGCGCACAGGCCGTTGGAAAAGGGCGAACAAGGGGCGACGGGGGCGGACGAGAGGGGAGACGCCGAACTCAGAGCAAGACGAACCCGATCAGCATTCGCAATTCTCGGCAGGTTCAAAACATCACTCGTCCTCGATGCCAAGAAAGACCGTGAACTCCAATAAACGGGACCGAAAGTAAGGCGGGAGGCGAGATCCTCGGGCCTCCATGCAGAGGTACTCCTCCCGAGCGGCCTCCCTGCTGATCGGCCGCCCGTGGCGGTCGATCACGACAAGGTCGTCTTCCTCGGAGTCGGACTCCTCATTCATGACCATGGCCAGGTCAGCGGCAGAGTCTGCAAACCAAACCCCATGGACCCCCCCCTCGGCATTTTCGGCCGCGCTCCCAGGGGGCAGCTCCCGCAGACAGCAGGCCCTCCACCACGATGACAGCATCGTTCGAAGAAAGTGGCTCGCCCGAGTCCTCGACATGCTCTCCACAAGCGGCTGGGAATGGAGGGTCGTCCACCTTCACGGCCGCCGAAACGTCGACCTGCACGCCAAAAAGCAAGGGCTGCCCGCGGCACGAAGTCCCTTCGCACTGGGGTTCCTCCCTCGCTCGCGGCAAGGCCCCCGCCGCGCAGGGCACGATGTGGTCGTCGGGAACAGCGTCGTCGTTCGAGGAGAAGGGCTGGTTGTCGGGCGAGGGGTCGACGTGCTCCATGACTCAGCTCCAGGAAGCCGTCGCACAACTCCTAAACCTCGGCGCCGTCCGCGGCGTTCGGCATCCGAGCCTCCAGGTCCGCCACGCGGTAGACCTTGGCCTCGCAGCCGACGCCGTCGCAGCGCTGGAGGTCCAGCTGCACCCGCGGAGCTGCGGCGAAACCGCACGGCGGCGCCCGAGCCGCATGCCATGCGGCGTGGCGGCGGAACCGCGCACCTCCGGGCACCCTCCGGCCCGCGGCTGCCAGGCGGAAGGCCGGCCGAGCGGCCTGTTCACGGCCCTCCCACCAGCCAGGCACCCGGCGCCCGCGCCGCGGCACCGCAGCCTCCGCGCACGCCAGCCTGCGCGCCCGCGCAGCCCGACCGGCCGCCGCGGCGCCCATCACAGCAGCCTCGCGGGCCCGCTGCCCGTTGGGGCCGCCCCTCCACGGGCGGCTCGCCGTAGCCATCTGCACCTCCGCCAGGCACCCCCTCCATCGCAGCGGACGCGAAAGGGGATGGAGAATGAGCCGCCCTCTCCCAGAACGGGGAGGGGCACGGCGCGCACATCGCCTGCCTGGCGCCCAAGGCAAGCTTGAGGCAAATAGCTGCGGATATCCTCCTCCTCCTTTTTTTTCTCCTCCTCTTCCTCCTCCTCCCCAGCGATATCCTCGACCCTCCTTTTCGAGCCTCCCCCTTGGTCGGCTTCTGTGAGGGGGAGGCAGACTCACTGGACAGGCGGGCGGGGGGGGTCTTCTCGAAATGGGTCGCAAGATCGGTGAGCGTATCGAGCCGGGAGATCGGAGCGGGATCGAAACCGAATCGCCTCGGCTGTGCCCAGACACAAAACAACTCGATCGTGCTGGCCCATGGCCGTCCCGCTGATCTCACTGGAGAGGAGGGGGCGGCTCACAGAGCTGACCCCCGCCCGAAGGAGGGGAGGGCAAGCATATACAGCACCGTGGGGTCGGACGGGAGCGTCGCATGGGCCATAAGGGGCAATGCGTCGCTGATCAAAGCAGGTGTCAGATGAAAGGGGCTGGCCAACGCTAAGCCTTGCTGGATTGAACTCCGCTGATATTGGCCACGTTAGGCTACGGCCGGCCAATCCAATATAACTCAACGAGCTTTGAGCATGACAGGCTACGGCCTGCTGGAAGCATGATATACTGTATCATGATCGGCAAGGCTACATGGCGCATCGAACACTGTCTGAGCTGCGCTCAACTCCTATTGCCTCTGCAATGAGACGTGGTACCCGCCGTGAGCCGGACACGCATACTACAGCTACCCCGCAACAGCCATCGCCATTATCGATTCAGGGAGTGTATATGCAACCATATGAAGAAAACGAACACCTACCTTGAACTTGCCAGGAGTACGGTCCAAACGATGGCATGCTCAACCGGAAGCGAACGCAACACAGACGAGTTAAACGCCAGAGGATTGCACAGCGGCGTCGCACGCTCAAGCTGACAGTTGTGAGCTCCACATCGGGCTCAGGACACGTGTATATTCATGTGTATATATATGTGTTTACATACGAACATTATTTTGCATGTGTGTATACATATATATATATGTTGGAAGATTCGTATATGGAAAGTATATATGTGAATATAGTGCTTGCAATGCTACGCCTAAGCTGAACATTGTTGGTGCAACCCCGCGCAACATCATCCTTGATGAGTTCAGCTGTGTGAGGCTAGGGTAGGCGGAGCCGCGCTAGGCCAGGCCAATCAGATGTAAACCAAGCGACGCTGGACCACGATGGTACGTTTTAAGACGCATTTGTTTTGGAGCGGGGGGGGGCGGAGGTGAAAAGCGAGGGTCAGGAGGGTGCAAGCCGAAACCCCACACTTTATGATAACGTCGTAGACGAATCATGGTATCCCATAGCTCATCCCATACTGAAGAGTAGGTCTGTCGGTAAGAGATAAAGCAAGACATAAGGAGGCGCACCATCGAAGGATGTGGACGTCTTCGTCCCCGCTACTCAGGTGCAATTGTATCTCACAGGCGTGAGGTAGTCAAATAGAACGGCGCCACTTGAGCCACGCGGCGTCGGACGTAGGCACGGTGCTCGCTATGTTCGCCTTTGCCCTTTGACCTTCGTTGAAAGTAAGGAAAGTAGTGGAACTCACGAAGCACCGCGTCACTCCAGTCTGGCCGCCAGTCGCACGCAGCCTCACACAGCCTGCCCGGCCCGACACAGACACCCTGGATACGGAGAGACGATGCAACCAAATGCACGTGACGCGGGCCCGGTGCGAGAACAGCTTCGCGAGGAGGGGGGGAAGGCAAGAGGACGAAGACGAGGAAGGGAGCCAGGGAAGCACGCCAAGCAGGCCCCGACCAGCGCAGAGGACAACCTGCCATAGGTGAGTCCACGCAGGGAGCCCTGGCTTGGAGGAACGTGCAACGCTACTGGGTGAAAGCCCCTATGGCTGGAATCGCCGTTTATACCACACCAAAGCGACCACAAATGATGAGATGCTGGTCGCGACTGGGATCCCCTGAAACAGAATCCACCAACAAAGAGCGAAACCACAACACACAACAACAAACTGCGCAACAAAACACGCCATGCCCAGCTGTGCGTCTGGGGGAACACTTTTGGATGCACTGCTTGTCGGCGCAGGCCCCCTTGCGCTTCCCTCGGAATAAGTACCTCCACACGGAAAAAAAGAGGCGACCCAACAGGCTCGTGGGACTCCGTGCTGCGCTTCTCGTGGGGCCTGCTCTGGAGGCGTGCGGTGCTTGCTGTGCCTCCCTTCGTGCTTTACATGCCCGCGAGCTCCTCTTGCTACCAGGAGGCCGCAGCAGTCATGCTGCGGGCGCCCCTCGGGCGGCCACGCGCCGCAGCAACGAGCAGAGCCGCGCGGCCTGCGCCCCGCGCGGCCGCCGTCGGAAGCCCGTGGCGCCCGGCGGCCTGCCGTCCCGAAGGGAGCGCGCGGACGCCGCGGCCTGCGTCCGGAGGAACGCCGGGGCGCCCATGGCGCGATGGGCGGTTGCGGCCGCCATGGCCCTCGCACTCTTGTTGGGCGCCCGAGTTATCCGGGGTAACTCGGGTCCGGGGTAACTCGGGTTCGGAATCCCGAAAAGCGAGCCCGAGTTAGCCCTGACCCGAGTTACCCCTGATGATTCGGGGCTCTGATCCTGCGCTGCTCAGGGAGGGGACGCGCGTGGGCGACGATCAGGAAGGGGTCCTGCGCGGGGTGGCGCGGCAACCTCGCGCGGCGGCGTCCGCGGGCCGCCCGCGCGGCACGCCTGAAGCGAGGGCGCTCACGCGCGACCTCACGCGGGCAGCGTGCGCGCCAGTGTCGGCGCAGACGGCCCCGTGCCGTTGCGTCGCTCGATTCGCTCCTCGCTCCTCCTCCCCCTCCTCCTCGCTCCTCCTCGCTCCTCGCTCCTCCTCCCCCTCCTCCTCCTCCTCCTCCTCCTCCTCCTCCTCCTCCTCCTCGTCCTCCTCCTCCTACGCTGTTCGGCGCATGTGTTGGTGAATGCCTCGAGACTGGCAGGCAAGCTTCTGGCGGGGGTCGGCTAAGCCCGAAGCCCCGGCAGCACAAGGGGTGGAACGAAGAGCGAACACGCGGGGTGCTCGAGGGAGTCATCTCCTCGTCGGCCATCAAACTGGCAGCCCGCCAAATCCTCAAGTGAAAACGCACTGTTGTACACCAGCCGTGCCACGCCGAGCGTAGTTGTGAAGCTTGCGTCCGGGGGGAAGAGAGGGGCGGGACGGAGAGAGAATGAGAGTGCGTCCACACGGTCGGCCAGCGCTAGTATGTGCTGATATGAACACAAGTGAATACCACCCACTACAGTCAGTGAGTGAAATTGTTGGTGAGAGTTCGCCGTGGGCGACGTTCGCGCTCGGTAAAAGTGCATGGCTGCAGCCCGCGCCGTGTGCGGCTGGAAATGCCCGCGCTGAGCAAAAATGCGCGGTTGGAACCCACGCCGTTGGGTAAAAATTACTGGAGCTGATACCGTGGGCAGCTGGAACACTTTTCCTCGTAAAAACTTGAAGGTTGGATCCACCCCTTCTTCTGGGTATAGGTGGCTGGAAATATCTGTTCCGAAAAAAGTGAAAGCTGAAGCCTCATCCGGCTTGGGCTTTAAACATAGAAACAAATAGGGGGGAGGAGGGAGGGACGGGCCAGGGGCGATAATCCTAGCATTGTGTTCACGCCTTTCTCCTGAACTGGGTCAGTCCGCGCGCTCGTCTGTCGGTCAGTCCGTCCGTCGGTCGTCGTCGTCGGTCGTCGTCGTCTCGATCCGTCGGTCGGTCGGTTCGTCGGTCGTCATCGGTCATTGCCTCGGTCGGTCGGCCGTTCTCGGTCGATCGGTCGTCGTCGGTCATTACGGTCGGTCGGTCGGTCCGGTCGTCGTCGGTCGGTCGGTCGGTTGTCGTTGTCTCGGTCGTCGGTCCACAGCCAGAGCCCGCCCACGCCATGACGCGACTGGAGCCGAAGCGGCTACGGATGCAACGCGGTTGAGAGCAAGACGTTGGACCCACAATCTTCCCGATATGATACGCTCATTAAAATTTCACGACCAACAACCGTCCACTGACTGCAGGGTGCTCCAAGCCACGGCGAAGAGGCACGGTCAGTCAATTCAAGCTGCGCTGCGGTGACACCTGCTGGGCAATCTGGGCAAACGTGGCCTGATTAAACATATCTAGCAGGTGCAAGAATGTGACCTCTCCGAATGTATGTAATGTGTGCCTGTTCCCTGCTGGACCTCCACTTGACTCCTCAGGGGATGCATGGCATCAACAAGAACTGCGTCAGTTTGCGCTCGTGTCCACTGCGCGCGCCACGGTCAACTGCGACTTGGTAGATGAGAAGTGAAAGATTCGATGGCGTGTGCAATTCTGCGAGTTTGCCCAGTAAGCGCCTGCGCCCACGGGGGATTTTTTGTGCGCCTGCGCCACCCAGAGGCTTTCGATAACTGGAATTCGTTCCGGGGGCAGGGGAAAAAACGCTTTTCGCAGTGGATGGGGCAAGCCTGAAAACGTGACAGTGCACGCCGGCGCCTCGCTGCCGCCCTGGCCAGTGCTTCCACTCTTGGACATGGCGTGATACGTGAGCAGGAGTTCGCCCGCACCCAGCTGGCGCCCGCGCCCTTCTGGGGGCACGAGCTGCGGCCACGTGTGGGGGGGAGCCGTGCGCGCGATGCGCGCACTTCTGCGAGCGCGCGCGCGCGGCTCGCGCCCACTGCCGCCCCTGCAGGGCGAAGGACACCGCGCGATGTGTGGGCCACCCCGCCCTGCGCGCACAGGATGCTGCACGCCCACATGCCGCACCGAGGAGGATCGCCCGCCTGCTTCGCCCCGCAAACCCTGCTCTCACGCCTTCGCGCTCGCTGGCTTCTCGCGCCCCAGACACGCAACGCCCGGACCTTTGCAATACGACGTCCCCAGAAGTCCCGACCCTTTCCCCGACACCAGCTTCTCATGTTTGCAATATTTCTAAAGAGGAAAAAACTGCGTAAACAGAAACTGTTGGATGTCCGCGCGGATTTCTTGGATCCGCGCCGGACCCCCTCCCTGGCGCCTCCCGCCCCAGGGGCGGCGCTGGAGGCGCCGCCGGGGAGGCACAGCGCAAATCCTGGAAAACCAACACCGGTCGAAAACCTCCCGCCGTGACGTTTGGCGGCGCGCACAGGGGGGTAAAGGGGAGGGGGGGAGGCTTCTTCGAGGGAGGCTGTTTGTTAGAAGCCACCCGCCCTGCATCTGCAGACAAGGCCCGCGCCTTCCAAGAAGCAGGCGTGCTTCTGAGAAGCCTTCCCGCCTCCCTCCACCCCCCCATCTGGAGAAACCAAGAAAATACCGACACCGCTACTCCCCGGACCTCTCCCGGGGTGCGTTCTGACCAGAATTTCGAAGCGAATCCAGCGGTGGTGAC